CGGGTCAAACCAACTGCTACACCAACATTCCGGTGACAAAACGCCAGAAAACACTCGTGCGGACAAAAGTTTACTACGTGAACTATGACAGAACCTATTCACCGCCATCTTTCGACTTGGTTTATGATGGGATGTAAGTTATGCAAGTTAATTTTATTAACATGATGTGCAGTGTTTTAAATACATATGAGAGGAAGCCCTAAGTTATTTACAGAGATATTCTATAGAGTGATTTAAGCGACTAACTACAATGATTGAGATATCTATGATATTGTGTTTCCTTATCATAGTCTTATGAATATCTCTTATACGCCCCCTCAAGATGGAGAAAGTTGACAAACTCCAATCTTGTTGCAGGCGGTTTGAAACTTAGCGCGGGGAGAGCTTTTGTAAGAGTATCAGTGACTTGATCATGGGTTGAGACGTGTGACACTCGCAACATACCTGACTGTATTGCGTATAAAATGATAATCCAAGGTAATATGTTTTATCCTGGAATGAAAACAGGGTTTGCACAGAGGTATGTGGCTCCAACGTTGTCACTATAGATGACAGGTACGTGTGGAAGCTGAATGTGAAGTTCTGTTAGCAAGGAACAAAGCCATAATATCTCTGAAGCAGTATTCGTGACAGCTCTGTATTCGGCTTCCGTGGATGAACATGCTACTCCCCTATGCTTTTTAGAAGACCAAGAGATAGGGTTGTTGCCAAGATAAACAACATAAGCATTGGTAGAGATAAAATCATACGTGTCCCTTACCCAATCTGAGTCGGAGAAAGCGTGCATTGTGAGTGGAGAGTGAGCATAAAGAAAGATACTGTGGGTAAGGGTTCCTGCAAGGTAACAGAGCACTCGTTTTGCAGCCGTCCAATGATCAGATTTGGTTGATGCATAAACTGTGATAGCCGGTTAACAGCGTATGCTATGTCTGGTCTTATGAAGGCGAGGTACTGGAGACTTCCAACAACAGAACGATATTCAGTGGCATTGTCAAGCAGTGTGCCACTATTCAGCGTGAGCTTTGGAGAAGACTGCATTTGGGTGGCTACAGGTTTTGCATCTGTCATACTGGTCTTGTGTAAAAGATCAAGAGTGTAATTCCTCTGCATTAAGTGAAGACCAATCTTTGTTCGTGTTGCTTCAATACCAAGAAAGTAGACGAAGTCTGTGGGGTCTTTTATTGAAAACCTCTCTGCAAGTGATTGAAGAACATTGGTAATAGTGGAGGTGTCATTTCCGGTTACTATGATGTTATCAACATAGACCAGTATGTAGACGATGGCATTGCCATGGTTGTATACAAAGAGCGAGGTGTCAGAGAGGGCACTGTTGAAGCCAATGTGTAAATGATTCTTCTTGAGCTCTATATACCAAGCTCGTGGAGCCTGTTTCAGCCCATAAATTGCTTTCCTCAGCCTACAAACATGATCTGGTCTGTCTTTGTCGTTGAATCTAGGTGGTTGAGACATATATACTTCTTCTGTGAGGGTGCCATGAAGAAAGACGTTGTTAACATCCAACAAGTTAATTTGCCATCCTTTCTTAACATCGACATCAAGTACTAGACGGATTGTCATGGATTTAATGACGGGACTGAATGTTTCTGCATAATCTACTCCATATTGTTGAGTGAATCTTTTAGCAACAAGGCGGGCCTAGTATCTGTCGAGTGTTCCACTTGGAAGATGCTTTGTTTTGAAGACCCATTTGCAGCTGATGACATTTTGATGAGGCACTAGAGGAACTAGATCAAATGTGTGGTGACAGAGTTGAGCATCAAACTCATCAGACATCGCGAATCTCCAATTTTCATCCTTTAGAGCTTGGGTAACACTTGTGGGTTCTTTGGGAATGTGCGGCAGAACAGCCATTTTTGCATATTTTAGGTTTGGTTTGGCGATTAGATGTTTAGCAAGAGTGTGCATTTTGTGATCGTTGTTGGGGAAAACAAAGCTGAGAGGTAGTGAAGGTAGTTGTGGAGGTTGTAGGATTGTATCAGGTGATAACGAAGGTTGAGGATTTGAGTGTGTTTCTGAGTTCGTGGGAAGGTTGATTTGTAGGTTTGGATCGATTTGGTTTTGAGAAGCAGATGAATTTGACGTGGATGTGTTGTTTGGGTTTGTGGAGAAAGATGGGCTTGGATTTGTGTGTTTGGGTTGTCTGGACCACGGGTTCTAGCCCATTATCATTTGGAACAGTGGACTCCGAGTTAAGTGTAAAAGAAGACGAAGGAGAAGTTGAAGGAGAGTGAGAGATAGAGGGTAATACCTGAGAGTTTGTCGATGTCGTTGGCATCAGAGACGGAAAATCTGATTGATTGGGGCGAGGATCTGAGCACGGGAGATTTGATGAAGGCAGTAACCGCGAAGGAAGAGCTAATTCGGTGATCAGCGGGGCTGAAGTTAGAGCCAATATTTGTATCGCCTCTTATCTTGAAGCAGATTTAGTGAACGAGAACTGGGTGGCATCAAATTGGACATGCCGCAAGGTGTAAATGCGACACTGGAGGGATCCAGACATAGATACGCACTTTGCGTTGTTGAGTAGCCGAGAAACACACAACGCTTTGATCGATCATCCAGTTTGTGCTTCGCATAAGGACGAAGCCATGAAAAGCAGAGGCATCCAAAAATATTTAATCGTGCATAGTTGGGTGCAGTTTGAAACAGCATTTGAAACAGAGAGGCCAGCGAGAGAACGGGAGTTGGCATTCTGTTGATTAAGTACACAGCAGTGGCAAACGCGAAGGGCCAGTAAGACTTCGGGACAGCAGCGGTAGACATCAACGTGAATCCTGTTTAAACTATATGCAAGTTTTTGCGTTCAGAGATATCATTATGCTCCTGTGTGTGCGGTGGCGTCGTCAAATGAGAAATTCCTGAGGTGACAAGGTATTCTCTTAGTGCTATATATTCGCCTCTGTTGTCTGAGTATAGAGTTCCGATTGTTGATTAAAACTTGTTCTCAACTAGGGCATTGAATGCAACAAATATGTTTTTGACTAGGGATTTTCTTTGTAATGAGTATAGCCATGTATAGCGGGAGTAGTGGTCTATGAAAATGATGTAGTATTTGTAGTCATCAAAAGAGATTATAGGAGATGTCCAGACATCAATAAAGATAATTTCGAGGGGTCTTGTAGAGGTAATATAAGATATTACAAAAGGTAGTTTATGGGTTTTATTGATAGAACAATCGGAACAGGACACAGCTTTAAAAGATGATTTAAGATGGGAAGAGAAACTGATGGGTGTCTGAGGCGACAATGCCACGATGATAGAGTTGTTTGAGTGCTTGTGGTTGACAACAGTGCAATGGCTTGAGCGGATGATACTGGCCACTTATATAGCTCCTTATTGATTTTGCCTTGGAGTAATGGGACTCCCGTGCTGAGATTCTTCACCTGAAAGGAAGTTGGGAAAAATTCCACAGAGACTTGGTTAGTGTTGCATAGTCTATATACTGATATGAGGTTCTTATGTATTTTAGGAACACATAACACTTTGTTTAGAGCAAGAGTTCGAGAGCCATCAGCAATCAGTACATCATCACCGCCATCATAGGGTTGGTGAAGTGCAAGGTTGTTGAGATCCGACGTTATGTGATGCGTGGCTCTGCTGTCAAGGAGCCAGTTGTTGGCAGTGTACGGCGATCCAACCGCTAAGTTTGCTTTTGGCTGCCAAGGTGTGAAGGGTCTCAGCGCTTCGCATTGTGTCCTTGAGTGTGACACAGTTGGCATTTGCCTTGGTAAGGTTTGAGACGCGGTTGTTGTTGTTTTTGGATGATTGTCAATTGTTTTGTTGACGATTAAAGTTGTTGAAGCGCTGTGGTTGTGAATTATAGGAACGGTTGTTTGTGCTGGAGCTTCATTGTTGAACTGCATTTGCAGTTACCAGAAAGGATGAAGAAACATCAGCGTTGAGTGTCATCAGTTTGGCTTCGTGATTGAGAAGACGTTCATGGACTTCAGTTATTGTTGGGGGTGTATCTTTCCCTTGGATCTGATTAACAATAGACTTGTATTCATCATGGAGACCATCGAGGACCAGTTCGAGCTGATCTTCATGATAAAGAGGTTTGCCAAGTATGGCGAGTTGATCCATAAGAGTCGTTAGACCTTGCAGGTAATCATCGATTGTTTTTGTACCTTTAGTCCATTGTTTGAGTTGGTTCTTCAGTTGTTTGATGTGTCTTCTGCTTGGCTTGGCGTAAGTAGAGGACAATGTATTCTAGATCTGAGCAGAGGTGGTGGTTCTAGAGACCAGTAGCTGGATCTGTGTGGAGATGGCACCTAATAAGATACAAAAGATAAGCTTATTTTGTCTTTTTCTAGAGAGTGAACTCAGTGTTGACGGTGATAGCATCATTCGTTGTAATGGTGGCTGGTGGGATAATAACAGAGCCGTCGAGGTAACCAGCAAGATCATAGCCATCCAGTAAGACATGGATCTGTAGACTCCATTTAAATAGTTTGTGGAGGTTAGCTTTGTGACGTTGGATGTGTTGATATTGAAAAAGGTTTGGGTGGGTGTGGAAATTGTTTCGTCGAAATTTGCTGGTGAGGCACTTACGGAGGGATTCATGATGGAATGGTTTTTAGGAAGAAAAAAGATTTTTGAGAGGATATCGAAACTCTGATACTATGTAAGTTATGCAAGTTGATTTTATTAACATAATGTGCAGTATTTTAAATACATAGGAGAGGAAGCCTTAAGTTATTTACAGAGAGATTCTAGAGTGATTTAAGTGATTGAGATATCTATAATATTGTGTTTCCTTATCATAGTCTTGTGAATATCTCTTATACGGGAAACACCGTAATTTTGTTGAAATCACTGAGTATTCTCTCAATGACGAGGAGACATTCTATTACTCGGAGCTGGTATTTTCTCCCGTGAATGAAAGTATTAGCGTATGCCTCTTACGTAGCGTACAGCATATGTCTCCATCCTATAACCCTTTTATATCGTCCATCGAAGTTTACAGCTTAGACGTCGGCATGTACGCCGATCTTGGTCCCGACGAAGGTCTAATTACCCGAGAAAGAACTGCATGCGGTTCCAAAGAGATTATAAGGTATACAGCGAACATTATTATTTTTATTTTTATTTTATTACCAAGCAGTTATCTTCACTTCATCAAATGTTATGTTAGTATTCTTTATATATTTTATTTTCTAATTAACTTTTGAAATAAAAAAGAATTGAAATAAGTGTTTTTGTTTTTAATATTTAAGTATTTTTCAAGATTTCTCATTTAAGATACCCATTTCATTTTCTCTTCTTTTTTTTATTATTTTATTAAATTGTTTTTGAGATAAATTCTAAAAAACTTCTAATGGAAGTGCTTTTATGAGCGATAAACCCGTAATCTTTCCACACCGGGAACCATGTAATTATAGTTGATTATCTGAATTAATTCTTGTACCTAATGTTTGGAAATTCATTTTAGCTATCCGTTAGATCCTTACGGTAGGCCATGGTCCCCGTTAGGGTCCGACGACACACTGACCGATCTAACGACCTCAGCCCCATCGATAGACAACACCGGGGTGTCGAACAAGCCGCCAGAAGTTGTTATGTCGAAGGCATCATCATCGTTAGTAGAAAGCTTAAAACTTTCCAACCTGGCTCTCCCTTTAACCGGTCAACCAGTATACTTAGCTCTTTACTTCTCAGAGCCTCAAAGTCTAGGCCGGACCCAAAAACGGTCATTCAACGTTTTCTTGGACGACACACAAGTGAGTTCGGGTCCCTTCGCACCGGTTTTTGGGAAAGCCACTCAAGTCGTTCTGAGAGATGTAATGGCCACGTTGGGGTCTCAGATCGTCTGTCGGTCTACTGATGACTCGGTTTTGCCGCCCATCATCAATGGTTTGGAGATATATTCGATAAGTAACAGCCGATCCGGTGTAGCGAAACCACGAACAAACAATGCAAGAGAAGATTTGTATTCACAATCCATTTCTCTCTCACGTTTTTATTTTATTGGGATAACTATCCAACTTTTTAATATATGAATATTGTTGCAATTTTTATTTTTTTACAATTTGTATATTTACATATATTTTATACACAATACAATTTGACACCCTTCTACGACGGTTTTAGATAGGACAAAAAACAATGGATGAAAGAAGAAGAAAAACAAATTACCACTCATTCTTGGTTTTACGTTCGTCTCCGTGTTTGCAATTCTCTCGTCAGCGTTTGGAGCTATTTTCTTAAAAAAGCGTCAAAACGCTAAGCCAGAATCCACCACAGCACCAACTACATCTACATGTATAATTATCGTTACTTAACCGTTATATAATAGTACTATTATATATATTATATATGTGAATATAAATTTTTTAATTATTTATAGTTATATAATAAAAAAGCGTCAAAACGTTAAGCCATAGTCCACCACAGCACCAAATAATTTTTTTTTTTGGGTTAAGATTTAGGATTGGATTTTATTTATGTTTAAGACGTTGTGCTTTGTCTTATGGTTTTGGTGTTTGACCGTTAGGTTGCTAGATGATTGTTTGTAATCATTAGCGAACCATGGTGTTTTGTTTATGATATTCCCGAATCTTGTTTAACTGATTTATGTAAGTTAAATGAATGAAATGAGTTGTTTAATAATCCGCTGTGTTTTGATAAGTATAAAGAAAAAGTTAAAAATTTGGCTAAGTATAGAAACCGGACTTAGAAGATGTAGTGGGACACGACCGCGGTATAGTTTGCCGGGTTAGGTTACCACAAGTTGGTATCAGAGCGTTTTAACGCTTCTAGGACTGAATGTTGGTGACTGCGGTTGTTTGCTTGTTTGGGGTTTAAGGGGGTCCGATCCATTCTTCACTGCCAAGGTCTCGCGGTAAGGTTGTTGGTGTGGTGTTGTGAAACACGTTTTGAGTTAGCTTCGGCTAACTGGCATTATTGTACTTGCAGATGGTTGATACCAGAAGAACTGTGAGAAACAATAGGGACAACCAGGCTGCTGGGTCTGTTAACTCAGTCAACGGTAATGTTGCTGAGAGGGCAAGGGAAGCCGAAAGACAGGCAGCTGCAGTTGCAAATGAGGCGGCTAGAGTGGCAGCCGAGGTTGCAGTGAGGAATGCTGCGGGTGCAGCTGGGATAGCTGAGAATGCGGCTGGGAATGCTGCGAATGTAGCACCAGTGGGGTTAGAGGCTGTGCTTGGGATGTTAGCATAGGTACTAGCTAGGCTACCTGCGGTGGCTCCTGCTCCGGCGGTTGCAGCAGCACCACATGTAGTACCACCGGTGGGGGTTCATGCGGATGTGATTGGTGAGGAAGCGGACCAAGTGGAGAGGGTTCCGAGTTACCTCAAGGTTTTGGATCACATGGTGCGGTTGGGAACCAAGTTCTTCGCTGGAGGTTCTACACCGATTGAGGCAGATGAGTGGAGGATGAGGCTTGAACGGAATTTTGAGTCTATCCGTTGTCCAGAGGGTTATAAGAAGGACATAGCAGTGCACTACTTGGAGGGTGATGCACACACGTGGTGGAAAGGGATCGTTGGAAGGCTGGTGAATGCGAATTTTTCATATGAGACGTTTTCAGCGATGTTCAGGAGTAAGTACTTCCCACAGGAAGCTTACAACGAGTTGGAGAAGGCATTCTTGTACCTTAGTCAGGGGACGCTTACAGTGAGGCAGTATGAGACTCAGTTTAACCAGCTGAGAAAGTATATGTCTCATGAGTTTGACACGGAAGAGAAGCTGATTCGCAGGTTTATGAGCGGACTGCGAGTTGAGCTTAGGAACGGATGTGTTATTCGCGACTTCAGGACAGTGGCTGAGCTTGTTGAGAAGGCGGCATTGTTGGAGTCAGGACAGGCGGTAGCTGCTTTGATGACAGCTGGGGCTAGTACAGCTGTGACCAAGGCGGGTCAGTCTAGTGGACAGAACCGGAAGTTTGGGAAAGGAGTACCGAACAAAGGATCTGGGGGACGCAGCGTGTGCAGCAAGTGTGGCAAGGCTCACGTTGGCGAGTGTAGGCGCGATGGTAGTGGATGCCACAGGTGCGGGAGCTTAGAGCATCGGGTACGAGACTGTCCAGAGGAGGATCTGCGAGTGGTTCGTGTGTCCGGCAGTGATGGTGCGGTTCGGGTTTGCTACGGTTGTGGAGAACCAGGGAATTTCAAGCGTGAGTGTCCTAAGGCAGGAGTGGTGGAGCAAGCCGTGGCTTACGAGAAGAGAGCAGGGGAGGCGCTTGCATCACATGCCAAGAGACAGGCCATTATGTCGAGGGTGTACACAACGAGTGCAGCAGCAGCCGAGGAACCGAGCACTTCTCATCCGATTACTAGTACATGTGGTACATAGTGTTTTCATAAATTGCTTTTGCGTGATATGTGTTAGTATAGAGTCTTAGCATTTTAGGGAATGAATGTGTATGGACCTTGCTAATGGGTGAGGTTGAAACCCACGTTCTGTTTGACTTGGGAGGGAGTCATTGTTTTGTTAATCCGGATATGATCGGAAAGAGGCAGTTCCAGAAGGAACCTGGAGAGGACTTTGGATTAGTTCAGGCGGCTGGAGGTCAAGTGATGTTTTCACTAGGAACGGTCAAGAATGTTCCAGTGATGTTTGGCGAAGTGAACATGCCAGCGGATCTAGTGATCTGTAGAGTTAAGTCCTATGATGTCATTTTAGGAATGGACTGGTTAGGCAAGTACAGAGCTCACTTGGATTGTCACCGTGAAAGGGTGCGGTTTGAGAGAGACGGAGAGGTCTTGGTTTATCAGGGAGTTAGATCAACCTCAGGAAGTTTGGTGGTTTCAGCTATTCAAGCAGAACGGCTGATAGAGAAGGGTTGTGAGGCGTATCTTGCAACGATCACTACCACGGAAGGAGGACCGGATATAGATTTGGGCAGTATACCGGTGGTGCAAGATTTTGAGGATGTCTTTCAGGCGTTGGCAGGATTTCCACCAGCTCGTTCAGATCCGTTCATGATTGAACTAGAGTCGGGGACAGCTCCATTGTCCAAAGCACCATACCGGATGGCGCCGGCTGAGATGGCTGAACTAAGCAGCTAACGGAGTTGTTGGAAAAAGGGTTCATTAGACCCAGTAGTTCACCGTGGGGAGCACCAGTGTTGTTCGTAAAGAAGAAGGATGGGAGCTTCAGGCTTTGCATTGATTACCGCGGATTCTACCGTGTGACAGTGAAGAACAAGTATCCACTTCCTAGGATAGACGAGTTGTTGGACCAACTCAGGGGAGCTACTTGGTTCTATAAGATTGATTTGGCATCAGGGTACCATCAAATACCCATAGAAAAGACAGATGTGCGTAAGACTGCCTTTAGGACAAGGTATGGTCATTACGAGTTTGTGGTCATGCCGTTTGGTTTGACGAATGTGCCAGCTGCATTCATGAAGTTGATGAATGGCATATTCAGGGAGTACCTAGATGAGTTTGTGATCATTTTCACAGATGGTATTCTAGTATACTACCGGCGGTTTGTCAAAGGTTTTGCAAGCATGACTCAGCCAATGACAAAGCTGACTCGTAAAGAAGTGGAGTATGTCTGGACGGATGAGTGTGAATAGTGCTTCTCAAGGTTAAAGGAGTTACTCACAAGTGCACCAGTATTGGCGTTACCAGAACCGGATGAGCCATACGTGGTATACACGGATGCATCCAGGAAAGGACTAAGGTGTGTTTTGATGCAGAATGGTAAAGTGATAGCGTATGCTTTGCGGCAGCTACAGAATCATGAAGGAAATTACCCTACGCATGATTTAGAGATGGCAGCTGTGGTATTTGCACTTAAGATTTGGAGATCTTACTTGTATGGGGAAAGGGTGCAGATATACACGGACCATAAGAGTTTAAAGTACATCTTTACTCAACCGGATTTGAACTTGAGGCAGCGTAGATGGATGGAGTTTGTAGCGGACTATGATTTGGAGATAGCATACCATCCAGGAAAGGCCAACTTGGTGGCAGATGCGTTGAGTAGGAGAGGGGCTAGCGTATCATCAGAACGGAATGTTGGGAGCATTGGGATCATGCTAAGGACATTGCAGCTGAATGCAATAACGGAAGGGGTTAAAATTGGAAGCTGCGGATAGTGCTGACTTGTTGACTAGGATTCGGATTGCTCAGGAGCAGAATGAGAATCTGAACAAGATGTCACAGAATGATAAGACGGAATACCAAACTTCAAACAATGGGACCATTGTTGTGAACAGACGGGTATGTGTACCGGATGTGAAGGAATTAAAGGATGAGATCCCTAAGGAGGCATATCAGTCAAGGTTTTCTGTTCATCCGGGGATGACCAAGATGTATCAGGATTTTAAACGGTACTATCATTGGGTTGGGATGAAACGTGATGTGGCTAAGTGGGTAGCCGGATGTGAGACATGCCAATTGGTTAAGGCAGAACATCAGTTTCCGAGTGGTTTGTTGCAAACGTTACCAATGCCAGAATGGAAATGGGACATGATCACCATGGACTTTGTACTGGGTTTACTTAAGACTAAGAAGTTGCATAATGGAGTATGGGTCATTGTGGATCGTTTGACCAAGTCTGCTCACTTCTTAGCAATAAAAAAGACAGATGGAGTACCAAAGTTGGTGGATATGTACATTGATCAGATCGTGAGGTTGCATGGAGTGCTAGTGAGTATCATCTCAGATCGTGATCGGAAGTTTACTTCAAGGTTCTGGAAAGAGTTCCAGGAAGCGTGTGGAACGCGGTTGCATATGAGTACAGCGTATCATCCTCAGACTGATGGACAGTCAGAACGGACGATCAGGACACTACAGGACATGTTGAGAGCGTGTGTACTGGACTGGGGTGGTAGTTGGGAAGACTACTTGCCGTTGGCTGAATTTGCATACAACAATAGTTACCAAAGGAGCATTGAGATGTCTTTGTATGAGGCGTTGTATGGCAGGCCGTGTAGGACACCATTGTGTTGGAC